TGTTTATGTATTCATATTTTGCTGAAAATACAACTTCATTTCCTTTTTTACATACTCCAAAAATTGTGTATTTTTCAACAGTTGAGCTTTTAGTCTCCATCTGAATTTTCTTGGTGCACCCTTTATTTTCACCAACAAAGGTTGTGATCCGCCTATGATTTGAGCAGAATATCAATGTCTTTAATGTCCTGTAAAAAGCTTGCTGAAGTCCAACTCATATCAATTCTAAACCAGGATTTATGTCTATCCTAATAGAAAGTGTAATCTCTTCCTGTAGGATTTCTTACTCTCCAGACATCAACCAATTTATATTCTTCAGCAAGTTCAAGAAGAGATATTGGAAGAAGTTCTTTGGTGGTTCTGATCTTCTTATTAGTTGTTCTATCCAGGTGGTGATCAAACACTGCATTGAAATCTCCCAGCAAACATATATCAGTGCAGTCAAATCTTGCTAAAATATCTTTTAAAAAATTGGAAAATGTTCCTTGATGATCATTTGGGGCATATATGATTACTAATTAGATCTTCTTTTCCCCAATGGTAATTTCAACCGTCAGGAGTCTCCCATCCTCCGCCGAAAAAAATCAAGATAGGTTTCAATTCTTCTTTTATGAATACTACTATACCTCTTTTTTAAACTACATTTAATGAAGCAAAAGTAAGTCCAAGTTTCTTACATGACAAATAAGTCTTAAATGTGTTAAATGCCTTAAATGTGTTTCTTGTAAACAAGTAAAATCTGCATTTAATTTCTTAAGTTGCTTAAAGATTTTCTTCCTCTTCTTTGGTGAATTTAGGCCATTGATGTTGGTTGAAAATATTTTTATTATTGTTTCATCCATTATGGACCTGTTTCATCCATTATGGAGAGCCAGTTTGGTGTAGTGGTTAAGTGTGCGGACTCTAATCTGGGAGAACCGGGTTTGATTCCCCACTCCTCCACTTGCACCTGCTGATGTGACCTTGGGTCAGTCACAAGCTCTGGCACAGCTGTCCTTGAAAAAGAGCAGTTTGTGTCACTCAGCCCCACCCACCTCACAGGGTGACTGTTGTGAGGAGGGGAAGGGAAAGGAGTTTGTAAACCGCTCTGAGACTCCAAGTGAAGGGCGGGGTATAAATCCAATCTCTTCTTCTTCTTTATTACTACCCTCTTTATTTCTTCTTTTTTTCCTTTGAGCTTTCAAATCCAGATTCAGTTTCCCTGCAGACTCAGATTCAAGATCTTTATCTGATGCTGTTGAGTAGTCCTGTGTTGAGCCATCTCCCTGTTTTTCTGCTGATACTCCACCCTTCCCTTTTATTTATTACTTCATTCAATTTCCTTCCATGTTGTTCCAAAAAATATTGAACTTTAAAAGTTGATCAACCTTAAATCTCTGTCCTTCAAAAGAGAAAAGAATCCCTTCTGGTACTAACCATCGAAAAGAAATTGAATGCGCTATAAGTTTGGTAGTTAGGAGTGTGTACTTGTTCCTTTTCTGTCTCACCTTCCACGGGATTTCCTTCAAAATTCTTATCTCTGTATTTTATTTTAAATACGTTATCATGGGTTGCTCTAAAAATATGGTCTCTATGAGCACTTTGTAAATTTTACATGCAATCCCTTGGCACATTATTATTATTTGTTTCATAAATTGAATTAACTCTATAAATTAGATCAGTTTCTCTTGCAGTCTCCTGAGATTCCTCTTCCAGAAATTCTGCTAAAGTGTCTGCAACCACTGTTGTAAAATCTTCTCCTTTTTACTCAGGAACATTGCGGAATCTCAACATGTATGCAGCTCTCTCAATTTCCAGCTTTACTAAGAAGTCCCAAGTAGCTTTTTGTTGAGTATCTACCTTATCTAACCTTTGTATTACTGCTTCAGCTTTTGTATCCACTATTTTAATTTGATGGGCCATTTCTTGGGTCTCACGCTTATTTTCTGCTAATTGAGTTTGGAAATCATTCATTTCCCCTTTCAGTTCCGAGACTTCTGTATTTAAATTTTTGATTTGCTCTCTCATTTGAATCAGAGCATTGTGTATTTGCCCCATACTTGACTGGAACAGTAGTTTGCATGTTATTTTGTAGATCTATCAATGCTTCTTGCGTTAACATATTTCCAACTGCCTTAGCTTGTGTTGGTGATGAAGCAGTGAAGGATGGGGGAGTCTGTGTCTTCACTTGTGTATTCATTTCATCAAAGATACAAAAGAAAAATTTAAATGTCCCAATATTTAAGTACACCAGATTAAAAATTTCTAATATTCCAAAATAAAAAGTACAAATTAACCAACCATAATCACATGTCATCTAATAGTTCAGAATATTGACTAGTGATAATATCCCTATGAGACAACAGACATGGTATTCTGCTTTATATATCGTTCAATAAGTCTTTAACAAATCTGTACAACCTTGCAAACAACCAACAGATTGCAACAAAGGACTCCAAAAAAGTTCTGTAACTCTCAAACTTCTCAAAAGCAGGGAAACTCAAACACAAGAGCTCCACCCCCAACAATGACCACCAGTGGCCACCCCTCTCTCTCCCCTCCCATGAGATTTAAAGGGCCCTCCAGCTGGTCAGCAGGAGCACATGGCATGCCAATCAGCTGGAGAAGGCCTTTTAAAACTTGCAGGAGGGAGTGGGGATGCACACTTGAACTCCAAGCAGCAAATTTCCTTTAAATGTTTTTTTGCAAGCGGCCTGCACCTGAATTCCAAGAGGCAAATTTCACTGCTTGGAGTTCAAGTGCACTATGCACGGTGACACCCACTGGTAAAACACCATTTGAAGGGACCCCTCCCTTTAAATGATGTTTTGCAAGTGGGTGCTACCCACACCTGAACTCCAAGCAACGAATTCACTGCTTGGAGTTGATGCAAGGCATACGGTGCCCGGCCTTACTTGTAAAACACCACTTAAAGGAGACATTCAACCTGGCACCTTCCAAGAGTCCCAAATATACAAATTCCACTAGTAGAAAACACCATCTAAGATTGCCAAAACAATATATTAAACAATTATAAAGTTGGTGGTGTCACAACAACAACATTTATGCATACTGTAAGGCATAAGATACAATATTTCCTCCTTTGAAGATAAGACATAAATTCCATGTATTCAGTGTAACTTGATAACTTGATAGGAGGAGTCCACATAGTCATAACATATTCCAAACAGCCTTTGCAAAGATACCAATTCTACATATTTGGAAGATGCGTTTTCTTCGACTTCTTCAGTTTGCCGGCTGTGTGAGTGGAACTGTGAAGAGATTTACACAAATACCTAGCCACAAAAACACATATGAAAAACAGAATTGTTTAAAAAAAACATGCCTGAAAAATACACTCACCCTGATTTCAGCAATTTCAACAGATCACAAGGTTCAGGCAAAGGCTGTTTGGAATATGTTATGACTATGTGGACTCCTCCTATCAAGTTATCATATTGTATCTTATGCCTTAATATAGTTACCGTATGCATAAATGTTGTTGTTGTGACGCCACCAACTTTATAATTGTTTAATATATTGTTATGGAAATCTTTGAGGGTGTTTTCTATTAGTGGAATTTGTATATTTCGGACTCCTGTGACACTAGTCTTTTCCCCTTGTTGTTTGGATTTGGTGCCTTCCAAGGGGCTGCATCCCCAACATGATGAGGTCACTTCTGTGTGATGTCATCATGTCAAGGACATCCCCTCCCCTTCCAGGAACATTCCCCCAAAGCCCAACGTTGGCAGCTAGGTAAGGACCTCGGAACCCTAAATAGAACTCTGAAGTTCAGTGGTGAGCTTGATATGTTTTTCTCACTTCTTGTTTTGCTGATTCTTCACCTTTAGCCTCGTTACTTAATTTTAGGGAATAGTTTATATATTTTGGTCATACTTTTGTTTAGATCTAAATTTTTGATCCACTAATACTTTGGGGAGAAAAGTGCAGAATTGCTTTGGGTAAGGTAAGATGTGTTCTGAGTGCTGAATAGCAGCAGAAACCTTGCTGAAATGGATCATAATACATAGTCTCAATCTTACCAGTACTGACCCGGATGGACCAAAGACCTCTACCTGAGACCTGGAGGTACCCAGTCAACGGAGAGTTTTCACTTTGGCGAGACTGCGAGTCCTCCCCTCTGCATTTTTAGAGAGGAGATATAAAAAGACTCCCATGAAGGAGAGAACCTGTCCATGTGGCACTGAAGAGGTGGAATCAGTTCAACATGTACTGTTTTATTGATGCTTTTTTCAGGACGTTTGCTTAAATGTAATTTCCCCTCTAATTAAAAATTATCCAGGATGTTCTGATGTTGATATCTTGAAGAAGCTTTTAATGGGTGTTAATCAACAGGCCACTATTAGCTGTGCTAATTTTTTTTCAGCAGCTTGTAGAACTCGTCATGAAATTTTATATATGGATTGTAAATTTTAGAGATTTCCAACTATTGGTTGTACCAATTTTATTTTCCAGTGATTTTATTGTATAGCTTTGTGTTTGATTTGTGCTGGTCATTGGCTGAATAAATAAATAGATTGCTTGACCTGGAGAGCTGCTGCCAGTCTGAGTAGACAATACTGCCCCTGATGTACCAGTATTCTGAGTCAGTATCGGGCAGCTTCATGTGTTCATGTGTTGTGATGAGTCATTGTATACTGCTGTGACTACCATAGTCCTATGGGGTCAGGTCTTCCTGTACCTCTGGCCTGGGGAGGTGACTATTGATGAATTCTGTTTTTGAAATGCATTTCCAAAAAGGGCAAACAGAATGGAAAGTCATTTGATGTGTAATTTGAAATCCTGCAGGATTTCCAGTTTTCATTGTTGTCCCAGACGGCAGCACAGGCAGATTCTTCAATAAAAGTGTTTTTTGGTGTGTATGTATACATGTCTTGTTTTGTTGCCTTCTAATGTGTATTTGGAAAACTGTCCTCATCAATGTGTCACTTTAATTCCTTCCCACATTAATGTAGGTCTTGTTTGTGTATACTAATATTACTGATTGTTTCTTGTTTCAGCTATTTGTACAAGAATGAAATCCAGTCAATTGACAGGCAAGCATTTAAAGGACTTGCCTCTCTAGAACAACTGTAAGTGCCTTTTCTCTTCTGTGCTGTCATCTGCTTGGTTGCCTCAGAGGAGAAGTGCACGTTTTGGTCAACATTTCTGGCCTGCATGCCTTGCATGTCTGCACGGAATGGGTTTTTAGTCCAATGTGGGTTGCGCTCATTGGAACATAGAAAACATGTATGTCAAATTCTTTCTTTCTGTGTTCATACTGTGTTTGTTGTTTACATTTATCTCATCTCACTTTATAATGATTTTGAAGAGCAAGCATGATTATACACACATTGAACTGTGTGTATTAGGTTCCAGTTCTGCTGAGTGGGGGGGAAACTATGTTAATAGAATTTCTTTTAATCTCAACGAGGTAACCAAGGAGCATCAAAGCTGTGTCCTTGATTTCTCTACACTGAAGAGTTCCATTTTTCTATTGGTTTTATTTACGGCCTGCTTTTTAGTGTCAGGGCTCTTTTATAGCTTTTTAAGCTGCCAAATACTGGTTTAGGAGTTTTTTCTGCCTCTTACAGGCTCTCAGTTTTTGTTTTGGGTTGTTTTAATATTATTTTTATGTTTGTTATTTTTTATGATGTTATCTTGTTTTCCCTTTGTTGATGCCCAAGCAGCTTTTGGGAGAGGCAGCAGATACATTTTCTAAATAAATAGTAGTTCAGCAGTCCGAGACCCTAGTGCCATGTGACTGAGTGAGATCCCATCTCAGCTCCTGCCAATCTAGCAGTTCAAAAGCAAGAAATTGCAAGTAGATAAATAGGTACCGCTTTGATGGGAAGGTAACAGCGTTCCGTGCGCTTCGGCGTTTAGTCACGCCGACCACATGACCACAGAAATGTCTTCGGACGGCGCTGGCTCTTTGGCTTGAAAATGGAGATGAGCACCCTCGAGTTCGATTCGACTAGCTCTCGAGCAAGGGAAACCTTTACCTTTACCTTTAGATGACTATTCCTGTGAAATGTATACATGAAGTGAAATTTGGTTGGGAGTACTCTTTCAAATGAGGAAAACCCTGTGTACTTTCTACATGATAAAGTCCCATAAGAGGAGGCCTTCAGTTGGCTTTTACTGAAAATCAAACCCTTATCACTTTAAATTCAGTTATCCTTTAAGAGGGCCATCATTTATAGAAAAGCTTCATCAGATGCAACTGAGTTTGTGTAGAAGGGCTCATTTTAATGTATTTTACACATATTTTAAATGTGTTTAGGTGTATTTATGCCTAGTATTATATTTGCTCATAACATAAAGCCATAAAAGCTACACTACACAGAGGCCCCGGTCACACGGAGTATTAGGCACGCTAGAGAGACGGAAGATAGCTGGATTTTCCAGGCACGATCTCACCGCCACATCTGGGAAGCGTAGAGCTCCTGTGGCGCACCCGAGGCTTCCCGCCGAAGATGCGGGGTAAAAAACTAGTACCTCGGAGGTACTACTTTCCTATAACCGCGGGGCAAGGGCGGGCGTCTGATCGTGTTTCCGGTGGTAGTTCCGGTGCCCGCCCATGTCCCCTCGCAAAAAGGGTTCCCCCCCAAGTCTCCACAGATGCGCACAAGCACCCAACGGAGCATGCACACATTTCAGTTTTTTAAAAAAACCACAACCCCATTCGCTGCGCTGCACCGCTCCGCTTCTTTGCCGCGTCGTGTGATCGGCACCTCCCCCCTAACCACGGGAGCTCGATGGGACCTCAACCCGATGCCTGATTGCACAGTCGCGCGTTAGTTTGCTCCGGGACAAACAGCCACGCCTCCCCCCCCCCCGCATTTTCCTGCCCATGTGGCCGAGGCCAGAGAATGCAAAGACATTTCAAAGTGCATTGGATAGGTTGTGGAAAAATTACCTCACATAAAGCCATTGTCTGCTTTATACTGATTTCTTCTTAGGAACACTTCAGAATAATTGGGGGGGGGGAAGGTAGCCTGTATTTATGAATTATAATTTTACTTTGTTGGATGGATCCAACAATGGGCAGCAAACCCCCTGTGAATTTTATCTAAGTAGGATATAATGAACATAGCCACTGCCAGAGGGTGCTCCATCATTCAATAATCAGAGAGAATACTGTGTGTGTTTAGGGAGGCTTTATTTTTAGAAACAGAGTTGCCAATTATGGCTTGGAACATTCCTGCAGATTTGGGGGTGGAACCTGGCAAGGGGGGCCTCAGCAGGATATAATGCAATAGGGCTCCACCCTCCTAAGCAGCCATTTTCTTCAGGGAAACTGATCTCTCTAGCCTGGAGATCAGTTGTAATTCTGGGTGATCTCCAGGTCCCACCTGGAGGTTGGCATCCCTATTTAGACATTATAGGGACTGGCTTTGGATTTCACCAGGAACAATAGAGAGCTCTTACCAATGCACATTTTGTCAAATTACTAATTTCTTTTTTAAAAAATGCAATTCTTACTAGTTGTATTCAGTGTTCTCTCTAAGCTGAGTTAATGTGAGCCAGCTCACAGTCTTTTAGACTCCGGCTCACACATTTTTTCTTAGCTCAGGAAGGATGGCTCCAGAGCAAACTAATTTATGCAGTAGTTTAATCACTTGCTCACAACTTTAATGCCAGTAGCTAACAAAGTAGAATTTTTGCTCACAAGACTCCACAGCTTAGAGGGGAGCATTGGTTGCATTCTAAATGTCCTATAGCTGCTTCAGTTTTTTGTAACTGCTTCAGAGGTAGCATTTTGAAGACGGAGCATTGGTTGCATTCTAAATGTCCTACAGCTGCTTCAGTAACTGCTTGAGAGGTAGCATTTTGAAGACTCTGTGATGAACTTCTTTAGAGTAGTAAATTAACAGATTGTTCCTTTGACCTTGAGTCTGTTTGCTAAGTATACGTTAGGCCTGTTGACATTTGTTTAAAGAAGGCCTTGAGATTGTCAATCCCAATACCTATGCTTTCTGATGGGGTCCTAAACATTTTGCTCATATCAGTGCCTGGTTGTAAAGTGAAGAACCACGTGTGACATTCTGTTGCACTTAAATAAATATTTCTGTTGTTCAAAGCAGAGACAACCAATTATTTATTTTGAATTTTTGTTCTGGGTTGTTGGGAGAACTCTCATGTCTTTTAAAAATTTGCATGATGATGCTTTCAGATTGCATGTGTAGAATTTAAAAGAAGAAATGAAAGAAGGTTTGCTCCTACATTTGAGGCAGCAGTACAGTTAAATAGGGAGTGCACAGCAAAAGTTTTCAGTAGATTCTGCCTTTAGTTCTCTATTTGCAGGATGCTTCTTCATTGTACAAAGAATGGTTTAACTTTCATTGTTCTTGATTACCAAAAAAGATGTTACCTGTGTTGATTGATTATGGCATATTTACCTGAAAGTGACTGAGGTTAATGCAGAATAACTCTGTCTAGGTTAATGGGAAAGGCCAAGGAATTAAATTGTTCATAGGGCTTGTTTGCAGGAAAGCTCAGTAGGAATACAATTTAATTGGCATGCAAGTATTACTGCTCATTGTAATCCCTCCTTCCTCACCTCTTTCTGCAGCCAAAAAATACTGAAAGTTGGGAAGGAAGAAGGTGAATTCTGTGCAACTAGCATTAACATATAATATGCCTCTCTGACCTGCTCTCCTCTCCCTCAGTGTACATATTATCCCCTTACGTTTTAACTAGGGATGGATGAATATCCTCTTTTACGTTCCTTTTTGTTTCTGTATGTTGTCCTTGTTGAATGAGTTTGGTCTGCTCATTTTATTTGCTGATCTTGATGATCTATTTTTATGAATTTTTACACACATTAGGCTATGTATGTTTAATTTATATATACATTGTTCCTCATTTCTACATACTTATACTATACATATGCATATGTATTGTATAGCATTCTCTGCCTGGTGACATCTGCGCCCTGCGGGACCTAACCCAGTTCCGCAGGGTATGCAAGATAGAGATGTTTCACCAGGCTTATGTTTGAGGACAGCACCATATCCAGCCCCATTATCTGCCCCCCTCATGGAGGGAAGAAATATATACTGTTCAATGCCATCTATAGCTCAGATTGAGCTATCTATAGCCATCTATAGCTCAGATTAGGGCTGTCGGTAGTTTAGCAGTTCGAGACCCGAGTGTGCCGCATTACCGAGTGAGCTCCTGTCTCTGGTCCCAGCTTCTGCCAACCTAGCAGTTCGAAAGCAAGAAATTGCAAGTAGATAAATAGGTACCACTTCGGTGGGAAGGTAACAGCGTTCTGTGCACCTCGGCGTCTAGTAATCCTGACCACATGACCATGGTAATGTCTTTGGACAGTGCTGGCTCTTCAGCTTGGAAATGGAGATGAGCATCGCATCCCTAGAGTTGGATTCGACTGGCTTTCGAGCAAGGGAAACCTTTACCTTTACCTATGAGTACTGATGGAGTCTGAACTGGCAGAAACTGTGAATGAAAGAGGTTTTAGGATCATAGGGGACAGCTCAATGAGAACAATTCGGTGTGCAGCAGTGATGAAAGAAGGGGGAGGGCGGTTTAGAAAGCAAATAAATAAATTGCAATGCTTATTTATTGATTCACAAATAGTATTGAGAATGATGCATTTTACTGGAATAATTCAGAACAAGGAAACAAAAAGAGGTGCAAAAAAGGAAAGAATCACAAAATCAGTTTGTACAGGGGAGAGAAGCAAAACTGAAATGGAGATACTGAATCAGCAAGCTTGTGAAGTTTTATAATACCCCTTATTGTTAAATGGATTCAGTAGGATCTTCTGTTTCTGTGAAGACTTTACCATTTCAAAAAACATGACATATTTTTTATTATCTGTTATGACATAGTTTATGATTGCAATGGTTTGCTGTCTCATCAGTGGTGAATTTAGATCTGTCTAAAATACATAAAAAGGAAGAGGGAGGGTCTGTGGCTCAGTGGTAGAGCATCTGCTTGGCATGCAGAAGGTCCCAGGTTCAATCCCCGGTATCTCTAGTGAAAAAATCTGGAAGATTTTGCCTGAGACCTTGGAGAGTCGCTGCCAGTCCGAGTAGATAATATTGACTTTGATGGAGCAAGG